GAGAGGCAGCTTGTTTATAAACGACAGACCATGAAATCCCGCTTACTATCTTTTATTTAGTTACCGCGAGGAAACTAAGTGTTCGGGGTTCCACGGACCCCGGAACTTCGCAACTTCTCAGGAATACTGTAAAAGGGTTAATTATTCACTGGGTTTTAATTTTGCTTATTTCGCTGACTGAAAAATGCGCTAAATTAAAACCCAGTGAATTTGTAAAATTTAGCATAGAACACATTATCTAAATGATAAAACCGTGAATTTCAAAACCCACTTAATATGCCTGAAATTAGTGAAATTTAAACCCAGTGAAATTAGTCATTTTACAGTATTATAATATCACCGATTTGGAGTAAACCCCTAAGCATTTCTTGAAACTATTTTGCTCAGAGTACGTCCATGCTCACAGTCACTTGACGCATTGTACACTTCAACGATTCATTTCTGACTTTGAAAATGTGAAAATAAAAATTTCTGGGGATGTTACATGTGACCTGTAGACTGTCTACAGTCCGTCCCTCTTGTGTAGTGTTTTTTTTTTTTTTTTACACTAAAATGCTGTAATGCATTCGCAAGTTGGAAAAAAAAAAAACATGTTAGGCCAGAGGGACTGCCAAAAGTGTAATATAACTTCAGTATTTATAGTTACAAGCTTTCTCAATAGTATTAACTGAAAAAAAAATTTCAAATAAGATAAAATGGTCCCCTCTAAAATTGAGTTTTCTTTTGTTGATAAATAACTTGCATTTCCACGGTGCATTTTAACATATTTATATTATATATTCATGTAATATTAACAATATTTTCATGGCAAATTATGCAAATGAGTCACCTTTTTAGTCTGCAAGTAGTTGTCAAACACCAATGCTTCGCATTAGTGAGCAAATTTGTTAGTCATTTAGAAATGTTGCTTTCAGAACATCATTAACCATGAAATGTGATTCAAACTACATCTACCGGTAATACATGTATCTCCTTCATGGAACAAACAGCTTTCAAGGCAGGCTAAATACAGTGAAACTTTTGTTTCTGTTTTTCTGAAAGGTGTTATATTCTTGAATTTTATCCCTTTTGACTATAAAACTTTGCACTGAGATGTGTTTAGACTATTTCATTTGGACTTGTATGTACAAGGGAAACAGTTTGTTGACATTTCAGGATAAAAATGTAATAGCAATAATAAAGGCAGGAAACAACTGTTTGTATTTGTGGAACAACTGTTTTTTTTATTGTACAAAAACACAAACATTGCAATTACTTTTCGTTATAAACAATTTTCAAAAGGCGTTAGTGGTTTACATCTAAAAATAATGGTGTCTTTGTCGACGCATCCGACTGTGCTGATGGGAAGAAATCGCATGGTGATGTTTCAATTTTCGAGCAGGCCCTGAATGCTTGCATGAAAGCAACATTGCTGACTGTCTAGCAAATTTTCTCTCTAATGTGCTGTATTGGTGTATGAACGCTACATGCAAGAGTAGTTATTAAAACTCACTTATATCTACCGGTAATACCATTTCTGGTTCAATCTATTTGATATTTAAATGCTTTATACAAATTTATATTGATAAATGTATATAAAATTCACAGTTAATTCGCAAGTAACTTGTAATAAGTGTAGGAAGTTAGAACACACAAAACACTTATTATTTTAATATATTTATATCGGTACTGTTCTATACAGGAATTGCAAACCTCAACTTCACCTATTAAGTCCAGACCCAGAAAATAAGAATGATGAAAGCGAGAAGAAGAAAAAACAAAAAGAAAGTTTGACAGATGACAGGTATATTTGATTTTACTTCATGACTACAGTGTGAGCTCATGACTGCCTGTTTCTTGGTAATAATCTTGACGTCTTGGTCTTTCTTGAGAATTTTAACTGTTTTTGCACCAATTACAAATTCTGGCAAACTGAATCTGTATATTATGTCTTTCATGGAAACACAGAGAATTACCGGTACCACATAAAGTGGATATTTCAATGCTATCATTAGCTTATGTTGTATATATTCCAGAAACATGATCAGATCACGCAAATGTGACATTTTTCTGAATGAATAATATTTCAATTCAGTATACAACAAATGAAACATTTGGCTTATACACTTTTATTGGAGATGCACTTCTAATAGAGAAAATATGGTATAGCAAAGGAGATCTCATCCCTCGTGTGTGTGTGGGGAGAGGTGTATCTCTGTTTTATTTCAGTTTATTAATATGTTATTTATGAACAATTGGAAATTACAAGTTGATAAATTCTCTGTTTATAACTGTTTCTTAGCACTGATAGTGGAAGGATTTTAGCCAGTGGGTTCTCAGAAAATGGAGAATATTTTGCTATCTGTGATAACCAAAAACAGTTAACTGTGTGGAATACATCCACTGAATGGACAAAGTTAAGTTCAAGGTAGGTGAAAGTTCATAGAACCAATAAATATTATATATAGAAAGTTGTACATGTAGCTGGTAATCATAGTCCTAAATACTTACTGAATATGACCAAAAATATCCTAATGGGTACATACCAGGCCCCTGGGCTTATACTGGGGAAGTACGGTATATATACATTGCATACACGACCTTTATTGAATAATTAGCAAGGAATATGATTAAAAACAAGCGTATAATAAATTTAAAATTATAATGGGTTTAAATAAGAAATTTATTTTATTGATGTCTCATGAAGTTTTCGCAAATTAGTTAATTAGCTATTCACCCATATAGTAAAAAAATATACTGCAAGTGAAAGTTCTATAGATTTCACGTTTTAACATAATACCCGGTAAGCATCTTTTATGACTGATCATTAAAATTAATGTATTAAAGATTGTGTACTTTGATATAAAACACATAATTGAACTTTAATGCATTATTATTTTTAAGTACATAGTGCTACTAGTATATTGAAGTAATTAAACTATTATAACACAACCTACTATCTGAATGGGCTAGATGGGCAAATTCAAGTTCAAAGTTCCCATTACATCCTCCCGATGTACTGGTAATAGTCAGGTAGCTTTACAAGTTCCTGTTGGATGGAGTGCAAAATGTGTCTGTCCCTCTATTTAGTTTCTTTTCTTGTACGTCCCTTGATCAAGATTCTATTCAAAATGTTTTTGTTTTCCCAATTTGTGCCTTCAGATGTAAAATCAGTAAAATACAAGTCAATTATTGACAATGAGTTGTTCAAGATAAAAAAAATAATTCATAGAAATTCACATTATCAACAGCATTTTATAATCTAATTTGTACTTTTATTTTGAATCTAGGCCGGTAGTTAAACGATGTACAGCGCTGGCTTTCTCTCACAATGAAGATAATATAATTGTGTCTGATAAAGCGGGAGATGTCTATAAATTCTCAATTCTAGATCCTGACAAACCAGGAGAATTGATTCTGGGTCATCTATCAATGGTTTTAGATGTTGTAAGTATCAAACCGAAGGTGTCCTAATGGTTAACTTATTGCCATTATATTTTTACAGAGAAATAATAAATATGTATATGATGGTATAACTTATAAAAACCACAGGATTTCTTGCCAGTTGAATCTGGGATTTATTAAGGGATTAAGTGAGATGATAGATTATGTAAATTAATGCATGATTTTAAGTTAGCATCGAAAATTTTTTTTTTTTTAAATAATGTAAACAGAAACTTTTCTCACTTTGTTTTATTTTCATGAGCCACTTTTTCAAAATATCAGTCAGTTTCGAAGATTTTTTTTACTGAAATACTGTCAAGTTTATCAATTCCAACTTTGTGTTTTTTGTATTTTTGATCTGTTTTAGTCTAGAAGTGTTTTCTTTGATTTAATTACCTTACTTTTGTTTGTGTATAAGTTCTCCATTTTGATGTTTATTTTGCCATCAAATGCCTGTCACTGAAGAATTTGTAATACGACTTGCTGGCGTTGAATTGGATTGTTGATACCCATTTAATGTCAATTTTTTTATTTCAGATTCTGTCTGAAGATGATCGGTTTGTAGTTACGGCAGACAGGGATGAAAAGATCAGAGTGAGTCATTTTCCAAATGGATACAATATCCATAGTTACTGTCTGGGGCACACAGAGTAAGTAGGCATTTATTACTGAAACAAAATATGATCATGTATCCATTTGACTCTTGTGTGTGTATTTCTATATGTGTATATTATAACATTACCTCAAGAACTGCTGGTCAGATATCAATAAAACTTGGTACATAGTGGCTATAGGGAAATTAATAGACCAGATCAGTTTGGGGTTAATATTCATGCATACCAATTACCTATTTTGCATAATTAGCCAATTTCTGGCTTTTCTACCAATATCTCAAGTACTAATCATCACATTTCAATGAAACGTGATACATATGTGCCTCTAGGCCAATGCACAGGCCCGATTTGTTTCAATTTCATATCATATTTAATTACCAATGAAATAAGCAAAAAAAAAACCAATGACTAATTAAGCTCAATACAATTTTCTGAGATGAAAAATATGTACAGAATATTTTTCGAACATTTTCCATTAAAAATATTGTAAATTTCATTTTGTTGATTTTTCCATTATTCAGACACATCCAGATGCATCTTCATTAGAAGTGTATGTAAACCAAAAATTGCATTTGTGCTTTTATTAAAATTCATGCACTACTAATAGAACAAATATGGTAGTAGTACAAACTTTAATACAGCTAGTTTAGGGTGATATACAAATTGATCATCTTCGATCAGCCAAGACTATAAAACAACCCTATGTGGTGAATGTAATAAACCATATGATCAAAATATTATTTTTTCTGTTTGCATGCTACACTAGAATACCACTACTGACATTTTTAAACAAAAATTTAAAAACAAATCTCTGTTTATCTGTGCCATTCTCAACTATTTGGCTGTGAATTAATATCAATGAAAACATTGATATGTATTGGTTTATCTTCATGATTTGTGATCGCCAAAGTATTATTCTGCATTTGGTGAACACAAAGCTTTTCATAATATCTAACAATATGAAAGTGCCCATTCTTTGGTGCATTCTCTACAATGAGTCAGTCTGCTTGACTCTATACCATTACGTCCATCAGGATCTAAAAATTCATTCAGTCTAGGGGAAAACATATTCAGTGTGAATTTATAGTAACAGAAAAGTACTCAACTAGTATGAAAAACCTTCAATCCAATTCAGCTTGACAAAATTGTACATATGTCTCTAATTCATACACTTTTTGTTAAATTCATGTACCGTATGCAGTTTTGTGAGTCGGTTGAAAATTCTGTCGGGGAATTCATATATATTGCTGTCAGGAGCAGGTGTGAGTATGTTTATGTTTTGTATTATAATAACAATGAACTTTATTTTATAGTCAATAAGGCTGTTCTACCAGATAGTTAATTTGATCAAATGTACATATGAAAACAAATGTCTAAACAGTGTCTTACTGGTTGCAGTGTCGTGGAAATTAGTGTTTTGTAGTGAATTTGAGAATATATTTTAGCTTTTTGGAATCAAAGAATGCTCAATATCAATGATTAGATGTTTATATATTGTCATCCTAATATCAATATTTGTCTTGTAGGATGGAACTATCCGAGTATGGAATTACCTGGAGGGGACCCTTCTCAACACTCACCATCTTTCAACCTCCGAAACTAAAAAGATACCTGTATCATGTATAGCATGCAGTAAGAAATCCGGCCTTGTGGCAGTTGTTGCTGAAGGGTAAGTTTAACATCTCTCTATCTTTATTTAAATCAAGTGATAATTTACAACTTGTGGTTTTGTATACATTTTGTGCATGCTCAAGGACTGGTTGGCAAGACCCTGCCATTCACATTGTAATGTAAAACTAATGGTGTTGTTGTTAAATATATGTGCCTTTGTTTTAATAAAACAACATTTTGCCAGCATATTGCAAGCTACATATTAACTACATGTCATACTGATCAATGTCCGACATTTGTATCAGACATTCACATGCAGGTTTGCAAAATTATGAATGATATCACAGTACAGCAGCTTATTGACTATCATTGCCATATACTGTAAAAGGGTTAATTCTTAGTCCCTGTTCGGATGAAGTCCGAAAACGGGGACTTATAATTCGGTCTCCGTCCGTGCGACCGTGCTTCCGTCTGTCCGGAGTCATATTTCAGAATCCTTTTGACCAATTCCGTTCATTCTTTGCATGCTTTGTCAGTTTTCATTCAAATTTGGTACATAGATTATACATGTTAAGATACATGTCCTCCGACCGACCGTCTGTTCGTTCGTCTGTTCATGCGTCCATTCGTCCGGAGTCATATTTCAGAATCCTTTGGACCGATTCTGTTCATTCTTTGCATGTGCCTAGTACTTTATGTGGGACATATGCACATGCAGTGGTTTAGCGATTCAATTCAAAGTGGCCGACTGGCAGCCATCTTGTTTTTTAAAAATGTCGTTTTTGGACATGCTTTGTCAGTTTTCATTCAAACTTGGTACATAGATTATACATGTTAGGATACATGTCCATGACAATTTCTTTCCCAATTGGATCAAAGATGGCCGACTGGCAGGCATCTTGTGTTTTTTTTAAATAAGGTATCTTGGACATGCTTTTTCAGTTTTTATTCAAATTTGGCACATACCTTACTACATGTTAGAATACATGTCCATGTGAATTTGTTTCAAAATCGGATCAAGCATGGCTGATTGACAGCCATCTGAATTTTTGGCCTTACTACTATATTTCCAAGATTTATGTACCATTTTCATTCGTATTTGGCACATACATCATACATTTCACTTTGTTTCATAATCAGATCAAAGATGCCCGTATAATGGCTGTTTTTATTTTTGGCCATATTACTATATATCTGTCACCCATGTATCATTTTCATTGATATTTAGTATGTCATAATTGGATACATGTACATGTCAATTCAATTTGCAATTTGATCAAATATGGCTGACTGGCAGCCATCTTGTTTGTTTAAAATGTGATAACTTGGACATGCTTTCACTTGTGATCTATGTTTTTCTTTGCTATGTCTTAAACTGGTGGGGTCGTCACGCAAAATATGTTCGAATCTGCTGCAAATAAACAATCTGTTGTATACGCCACTTGGGACTCAAGTTTCAAGGACACACTCGCAACAACCCCTCCACTTTAATATGACAAGCACAAAAAGAACTTTCAAAAATTTAACAGGGACTGTGTCATTTTCAATGACTTGTTCACTGTGTTATAATTTTGCTTATTTCGATGACTGGAAAATGTGCTAAATTAAAACCCAGTGACTATGTAAAATTTATTTATTTGTTCGTTATTCAAATCAATACTCAAAGAGCCCTAGAACTGCTTTTAATATGCAAGATGACAGTAAAGAAAAGAACAGAGTATCATACAGAGAGCATGTACTCATTGCGATGAGCAGGAACAATGTAAAAATTAACATTGATTGTAACATACCAATGCAATAGTATGCTATTCTCCCAAACCAAATACTGTTCCTTTTTTGTTGGTCTGAGATCTAGATGGACTGTCACACTGCTGAGTGATCACAACCACTGACCACTGTAGCTGTGTCCTACATTAACAATTAAACAAATACCAAATGAAATTACTATTCATAATCTCATAGTTAATGATAAATCGTCTATTTCAGGTATCCGATGGTGTGGATACTTCAAGTCATGCAGAGAGCTAAAAAATGGACCATCAATGAAATGTGTAAATTAGAAACTAATAACCCACCATGGAATGTCTATTTCAATGACGATGATATCTTATGGATTTTTCAACCGTGTTCTCGCCAACATGTACTTCTGTATAACTATGTCAACAATGATGGCACGATTACTGTGAGTATTGTGTACGACACATTACAAAGTATATGCATTTATTTATTTATTTGGCAATTCATCCATCCTATTTTGCTATTGGAAGCACGGATACCATTCCCATCTTATTCTATCTGATTAGCCAACGTGACAACTAGCTGGTTAGTATGGTACTTCACAATTGTTAGTTGATATCTGTTGCCATAGTGAAACCACAATGGGATAGTACCACCATGTTACAAGACAATGTGTTAGATGCATGGGCTGCTGAATTGAAGCCAATCAATCAATCGTATCAATCTGTTTGAGTATGAACATTGAAAGTGTTTCATAATTATAAACACACTCCAAGTAATTCATATTATTATACATCTGTAACGCCATAAGTTACAGCGTGCCGTAATTTTGCGGTATTTTACGGGGTATTTTCATCCTACCATATTAGGAAATGCGAATTCCAAATATGGAATGATTACGCGTATAAGCGTCCTCTAATAAGAATAAAAACAAACATGGTTGCCACCAGAGTTTGACCGAACTCCACACAAAGAAGTTCGCTGATTCTGTTCTAATCATTTTGAATTTCGACATTCCCATGGTGTATCCTTGGAGAGGAAAGATGTATATTAATTATTAATATGGTTATTACGAGGATACGTCAAAGTATGCACTCACACAGTACAACATCGCACAGCCCGCCGCTGCGCGTCAGTAAATACTGCTGCTGTACTGTCTTCGTGCATACTTTGAGGTATCCTTGTAATAACCTTATATTATCGAAAGCCAAAGTTTTTTGTATATGATTTACACAGCGGATAATTTCACAATCTCCTTAGTAGTAGTATCACCTTCTAAACTAAACTAAATTGTCATATTCCAAAATTGTCTTTAAGTACTGTAGCTGAAATCCATATATAACTAATGCAAACATGATCCAAGTAGCGGGAAATGCCTGTCTTCGTAAACAAATTATAAACAATATCATTGTACAACACAAGTTGGCATCAACAAGTTTTTGAACCAGAGTTGGAATTGTTTTCATCTTATGTGTGATTTCGTTTCTATTTTTCTGTACCTCATTTGAATTTAATCATTAATATTCGTAAGTTCTGTAAGATCTCCAGCGGCATTGACATGTCTTGTTTATATTTGTTCTACAGTTCAACGCATTGAATGAAGAAGAGTCATGTAAAGTGTTTGCATACCAACAAATAAGCAGCGATTGGGAGTTTTTTAAAGGTATGTATGTTGATATTTAATCTACTGTATTTACTCTATTGGTAGTGCTTACGTATATTACAGGTGCATTTCTATATAGGCAAAACAAGTCGCATAATTGAGAATATGTATTTTTAATCACATGTGTATATATAAGTACTGTCTAATTTAAAACAATCACTAATTGACTTCATTGACTTATCATCTTGAAACTTGGTAGGCATCATATATAGGCATATTGTATTGGTGCAGTGATTTGCATATTTGCATATATCACAGAATGGGGAAATACTTCAAATTTGTATTCATCTCTTTTCATCTTGAAACTTATGTTTGATGGTCGTTCTGTTCTGGTGAACACATAATGTGTAATTCGCATGTATTAGAAGCCGCATCCCTAATAGAAGTCATACCCATTTTTTTTGAACAGTTTAGAACTGAAAGTTCACAATTTTTCATATGTGTAGTTACTCCAATAGAAGCTGCATCCCTTCTGTTGCTTTGTACCTTTTTAATAGAAGCCACGGTTTCAAATACAGATTTTACAGTACTCTCCATTGAGGTTTCCACAACAGTTTTATTCAGTTACAGTTGCTGGTACAGTACAGTCCTCCATTCATAACAGTGACCTCTACTCACTCATTGTGAAACGAGCCAGGGGATCGGCCATCTTTGATGGCTTCTTGTCATACTAGCGAGTTCAGCTAATCTGAACTTTTTTTCCTTTTTCCTAAAAGTTTCTTATTTTTTTTCAGAATACGTCCAAATTGGATCTTTCTACAGTCATTTACATAAGAAGACATATGATAATGTACAAGATTATCTTTCCAAAAAACAAGAAAGACTTAAAGCCAAGTCTGACAAAAGTGAAATAGATAAACCTCCAACAAAGAAATGCAAAGTAGACGAGTAGATATTTTCACCTAAAATGTTGTGATTGTGAAAACATTTCTACAGTCTCTGATTTTGAAAAAAACCCACTATTTATACATATCAATTTTTTGTTGTTCCTTCTAATTCAAGAAGCCTGGCCACTTTTTGTAGATATGCTTAATGATTCACCCTGGAACATGCAGCTGGTTTAAAAGCAATTACTTGTATGGTGAAAAAAAATATAAAATATAAAGTAAATTTTGATTAACTTTTGATCTCATTAACAAACTTTCACATGAATAATTTATTCAATTAATTCAGTCAGTTTATTCCATTTTTTTTAAATGAAATGTTAATGTTTTTAGTGTTCTGTTATGACATGCCTTTTATCATTGTCTCACAGTTCAAAGTAGAGCAGTTGTTCAGTATAAGTTAAAACGGAAGGGTCATCACTTGTGCACGCCCATGGAATTGACTCCCAAGCGACGATAACAACACGCGCTAAAAACGCAAAGGCTCATGGGTAGACACTTGTTTGTAAACAATGACACACTATGGCCATCTGACGCATGCGCAGGTGATGACTTCCCCGCTTTAAGTTTAGGAATCCTTAATTATTGCACGAAATTTGTGCATATTCATATATCATTAAATAATGCCCTAAATAATGTCTCTCAGATAAGAGTGGTTTATTTTGCCAGAATCAGTCTATACCCAGACTATTATATTAATGGTTTTGCCTAGTGCAACAAAGGAGCACGAAATTGTTGTTTTTTAACAACTCTCAGTGGAAAGCTGGCAGGAGGCGTTTTGTCCGTCAGTTGAGAAAATTTTGAAGTTCATGTTCTGAATTCATCAATGATGGACACTCTTCCTGATGCCGATATTGATAAACCACACAAGAAGTCTTCCCTACAACCGGGAACTGCTGAAACCCCTCCCCCAATCAGGCATGCACTTAGATCGTCTAGCACTATGGCATATCCATCCAAGACAGCACAACCTAGTTACTCCAGAGCCACTAGCGATAATATGACAATAGTGCATACACTAAACACCAAACGCATCTATTCACTACGTTCAATTACCCACCATAGACTCCATAGCCAATGATGGAGAGATAAAATCTAGGTCAGGGGAAACCCCATGACCCCAAAAATTTTTTTCCTTGCATCACGAACCACGTGACCGAAGTAATGTGGCAACGCCATCTTGCCCTGATCTTTTCTTTATCTCCGCACCGATGGGAATGAAGTCTAGCGGCTCTGCCTCAAAGGCCTGCTTTTTCCTGTCCGGGTTTCTGGCTTGGGTTGCTGCCGCTGACGCGGCATGCGAAACAGTGGCTGGTAGGATAAGTTTTTGACTCCTGTGTGCGAAGCACAAAAAGGGAGCCTTTGCAGTTAGTGTGTCTGTGTCTGTGTGTGTGTCTTTTCCACTGATATCTCAAGAACCATACATTGATTTTTGATGAAACTTGGTGCATAGATGCTCCAGGCCAATGCGCAGGTTTTGGTAAAAATCCATGCATATTAATTACCTAATTTGCATGATAATTAGCTGATTTTAACTGTTCCATGACTGTTCCACTGATATCTAAAGAACCACTCATTGGATTTTGATGAAACTTGGCACATAGATGCTCCAAACTAATGCAGCAATTTGATTAGTTTTGGGTAAAAATCTGTGCAATATTTATTACCTAATTTGTATAATGATTAATTAATTTTCGGATTTTTCACTGATATCTCAAGTACTAATCATCACATTTCAATAATACTTTGTACATAGATGTCATAGGACACTGCACAGACCTGATAGTTTTTAGAGTAATATCAGTACTTATTAACTACCTAATTTGCATAATTAATTAATTTTCAGCTTTTGTTATTTCAAGTAGTAATCATCACATTTCAATGACAATTTGTACATAGTTACTTGAGGACTGTGCAGACCCCTGATTAGTTTTTGGGTAAATATTTGTGCATATTAATTACCTTATTAGCATAATTAGTTAATTTTCAGTTGTTTGCCTGATATTTCAAGTACTAATCATCATATTTCAATGAGACTTGCTACATAGATCTTCTAGGACTATGCAGAGACCTGATTAGTTTTAATTGAATATTATTAACCTAATTTGCATAATGTTCCACTGATATATAAAAAATCACGAATTGGATTTTAATGAAACTTTTAAAGAGAACTATGCAGAGACCCAATTAGTTTTTGGTAAATATTTATGCTTATTAATCACCTAATTAACATAATTAATTAACACTGATACCTCAATTACTGATCATCACATTTAAATAAAATTTGGTACATAAATGCTCTTGGACAATAGACAGCCCTGATTAGTTTTGGGTTAAAATTTGTTCATATTAATTCTCTAATTATCATAATAGTTCTAAATTTTTTTGTTCTGTTCTGTTCATATTAGTTACCTGATTTACATAATTAGTTTTTAGCGCTTCCATCAATAACTCATGTGCAAGTAATTTTTAATTAATTTTTAATGTGTCTTCAGCAGACGGGAGTTCTTTCTAAGCTTTCTATGATTCTTATTATTTTACCCCCGTGCCGTTTGCCCCTTTGTGTGTATAATTTTTACAACAAAGAAAATAAAACCCGGCGACACAATTTAACTACGTCGTCCATTTCTTTGTGTCGCCTTTTCCAACTGTATTTCGCTTCCCTCATACATGTCGATTCATTTTCATGTTTTACCAATGTATTTAGAAATCGATAGATGTAATGACAGCTCGTCGCCGGTTTTGTCTCCTCTTGTCTCCGGGGTTCTGGGATGTTTTCCAGAGCCATGCAATATCACTAAGACTGACCGCATCACTCGTATTTTCACAGCAAGGTCGCACATCCAGTAAAAAAAGTTAAAGTGAGTTGTGTGTTGGCATGAGTGGAAAGTCCTCACGCTCGGCTACCGGTACTTTGTGTACTGAGACGTCAAGTAGGAGGCTCGGTGGTGGAGGTACCGATAATTTCTGGTCTCCTCCCGCTGATCCAAGGGCATCGTCACAGTCTGTTGTTTCAGGCGGTGGGTTACCCGATTTTACCGGCAATGGCAAGGCTCTTTTCTCCTATGGGGCTAGTTGCGGATCCCTTGGATCCATCCCCGCACGACACCGGGTTTGCCTCTGAGATGAGGGCTTTGGTCGAAGTACTGGCAGGCCGGGTAGATCAGATGCAGGGATCAGACCCCAAAGTGTGGGATGAGACCAAATGCCCCCAACCGGATCCCAAGGCTCCTTCCCCAGACCCCGGTACCGCGAATTTCTGTTTGGCAAAACGGGTAAAGGGGGACGGCGGCGTTCTATGGGTGTTCTCGCCAGCTCAGCCCGAGACGATCCATCACGCCCTGAGGGCAGAGTTGCTAGAGCGCATTATTGTGTGCACCCAGGACTCTGACACCTCGGAAGCAGAATGCACCAGCCTCCTAGACCAGGCGACACATTAACTGGTGGGCCACCGCACAGCTACGTGCGACATTCTCCAGTGTCACCTGGCTCTCCTGGCCGGGGCTACTACTGTGCAACGAGACGCAGTCTTAGATGTGTGTGTTTTTGCCGGAGTCAGAGAGTATGTCACCGCCTCAGTTACGCACACTGGACATCTTCCACCCTCTTTGAGGGGGAGATGGCGGGTGCAGTCTCAGAGCTTCAGAGTGCAATGAACCACATGGTTCAGGTCGAATCCGCTAGCCAATTGGCCACTGCCAAGGGTAAACGGAGGGTGCCCCAAGCACAGAAAACACAACGCCAGGAGGCAAGTGCTCATACCCTTCCGCGGGATGGAAGAGTAGCGACACGCCCCCAGGGAAGAAGGGACCAGGTGGTAGCTCCTCATTCTCCTCCGGCAGTCGTCCACCCCGGCAGCGGGGGAAGCAATTTTGATACCTCTGCGACCAAGGGGATAGGCATGGGTTCGACGAGAGGCAAGGTCACAACTTAGTGACTACTTCAGGCCTTAGGGAAACTCATGGTCATACTCATGGGTATGAGATCACCCACACCTCGCAGCTGCTGAACCCAATGCCACATATCCCTGTCACACACAGATTGCGCCAGTGTAGTCCGGTTTGGAGGCAGCAGGTGACCGATCCCTGGACCTTCCAGGTGATGACACACTGTTACAGGATACCGCTGAAATCTCCATCTCCTCGTTAGTGTCTCAGAAGTAGACAGTTTGCTGGAAAAGGACGCCCAGCTGGTATTAAGTCCAGGCTTCTGCTCAAATGTGTTCGTAGTACCAAATCTACAGGTTGTGGGCGTCCAGTTCTGGACTTAGGCAGACTGAATCAGTACGTGCTCCTCGATCGGTTCCGCATTGGAGACGCCATGCAGCATTCTTCTCTCCATCCACCGTTTCGACTGGCTAGCCTAACTAGACCTAAGCTGGGCCTACCTGCACCTGGCGAGTTGCTATCTCTTTTGCGTCGCCCAGCTGGGCCAAGTATTCGAATCTTAGGTGCCCCCCTCCTTCGGGTTATGCACAGCCCCCTACGTTCCACCAAAATGGATGGAACAGGTAGTGCTGCTACTTCACCAAACGTCGGTACACATCAATCCATACCTAGACGACTGGTTATTACATTATCCAAACAAGAGGTTATTAGCCAAGCAAGTAAGGCTAACACAGGATTTACTTCACCAGTTAAACTTTTTAGTAAATCAGACATAGTCCCATCTATACCCAACGCAACAGTTGGTGTTCCTGGGCATGGAGTTCGACACAGGGGTAGGCTTAGTATATCTTTGTCTAGTGCGTTGCCTGGCGCTTAGCAGCCTAGGTGAACGTCTAGCCAGCGTTCCCTCAGTGTCCCTCTGAGAACTAATGTGGATCATCGGAATGATGACCTCGGTTTGAAGGGTAGTTCCCCAGGCCGCATTACACAGCCGCCCGGTACAACGCTTGTTTCTACAATACCAAGCTCACCTACGGAAACTAGACAGGCGGGTATTGATCTTGGACCAAGCGAAGGAAGCATTGCCCTGGGGGTTGTCACTGGCCAATCTCGGACCGGGGTCTTCTTGGACCCACTCACCGCAGCTACGACTCTGGTAACAGATGCCTCCCTCCAAGGTTGGGGAGCCCATCTATTGGACGAACAAGTCCAAGATATATGGCTCCCGCATTAGTTTTGAGACCACCATATCAATCGGCTTGAACTGAAAGCAGTGCACTTAGCACTACCACACTTTCTACCCATAGTTCGAGACCACAGAGTCCTGCTCCACACA